CAAGCTTTTGTTTGTTTTCCAGAAAAAAACAAAAAGCAGCGCAACCACAAATGTTACACACGCTTATAACAATAAACTTAAAACTTGATACAAAATGACAAAGACTTGATGGTAGAAACAAGCCTACATTCAACTTGTTTGCTCTTAGATTATTCTCTCCACTATTGTGTTTCACTCTTATAGGCAGTGGCTCGGCAAATCTCAACCTAGTCAAATTTTCGCTTACCTGGGGTTATTCAATATACGCTTTTCGAAAATCTACTTTTAAGAGCTTGAAAACTCCGAAAACGAGCATTTTTCAATGTCCCTCCTTTTGGATTTTGACGAGTGGAGCAAGGCTAATGACGCCGAATGCCTACGGCGTTAAAATTTTGACTTCTTGAGTTTTGCCGATCCATTGCCTTTAAAGCATCACGACGAAGAAAAAGAAAAGCTTTGTTAGAAGTCTTTTAAACAAGATCATTTCTTTGCGTAATTGCAAGATTTCGGATCCAGTTGTCATTCTCAACTCCCATCTCTCAGATTATTTTTTATTTAGCTGGAACATTCTTACATTTGACCAGATTTCCGAAACTCTATCCATGTTGCTTTTTCATGACTGAATCTGAGAGCAGGTAAAAGCAAGCACTAATTTCTCCTTTTCTTGAAGCGACGGTTCTAAAGAAATAAAACTTCAGTTTTTTTTTCACCATAGCATTTATACATAACGAACTTGTCAAATTATCAGAATAGTCTTCTTCCAAAAAAAAGACCTTTGTTCAGACCCGAACAAGTTGCGCGAAGTGATGAGTCATTCGGTGCGCATGAATCTACCCAACTCGTGAAAAACCGGACAATCCACAAATACCTTTAACACTATGAATACATTGTAATTGACAAGTTAGGAGTCATACATGTACTTAGCGCTGATGTACCAAATCAAAATAGTGATGCTTCTTTATACTTACATTACTTGTTTACTCTTAAATTCATCTTCAAATTTCGATTTCCTTGGGTATCCATGATAAAAATTTGTTCAACATACATAGAATCAGTCGTGCGAAATTCTACTAAAAAACGCTGTTTGAATTGATATTTTTTCTGCGATATGCTGGATGAAGAGCAAATCTAATTATGATTTTTTTCAAAAATTATCACATCGCAACGATACTACTGCGCACTGCCTCTTTGCTTGCAGTTTCGATGCCTTTTGGAGATTTTAAAAAACGTACTTCACGGATTAAACCGGTTTGTGTTCCATCTATTCGGATTCATTTTTCGCGTATCTGTTTACACTCATGCTCAGCTGATCTTGGATCTCTGTCGCGATTATGCATGTCTATACCTTCAATACGTGATACACTGCGGATTAGAGCAGAGCCTGAACCTAGCCTAGAGCCCAGAAAAGCCTTAAGCCGATTGATTCATGCAAAATAATAGCGTCTGGCAATGCAGTCACTTTGCTTTTGTGAAAACCGTATTTCAACTGTAGAATCACGTCTAGCAATGCAGACATTTTGCTTTTGTAAAAACCGTATTTCAACTGTAGAGTCAAAGCACAAAGGATACCTCTGATCCAACACCGTTTGTTGTTGTCCCCGTGCGGTGGTGTTATCGCTAGTTGTCATCGTATCCATCATTGCATCCATTCATGGTCAGCTCATTGATCCATGGCCGTCATTGTTCTGATCGTTTCTCTGAATTACGTTTGATAAGCTTCAAGCCACTTTTACTACATCACACATCTACATCACATCATCGTAACAGCGAATATTTGGAAGTTGTGGTTTCAGAAATTTTTGTCATTCTAAGTCTCTGATTTAATTATTTATATTGTAAACCATAATATTGTAAGGCTCGCAGAATGCAGTTGCCTCTTCGACTACGAAGGTAACTCTGTTCTGCGCATGCCCTTAGAGATTACTGAAGACGCTGACCCCTTTATCCTTTATTTTCAACGCACCGTTCAAGCTGCACGTAAAAATTATCATTCATACTTCATGATTTTCAACCATTCACTCATCAGAGCAAATTTTAAAGTCTTGCGAACAAAAAAAAAAAATCTAAGCTAACCATGCACACACTTGACAACAAACCAAGGAACGAAATTGATTTAAAGCCGATTTATAATATCTAATCTGCTATGTGAATCTACAGTTCAGTCATTTACGATACTTCAATGCATCGGTACAACACAGCATCGTACATGCTTGAAGGCAGTTTTGAGATAGTTATATACTTGTTCTGCCTTCTGCCTCCTTTATCTCCTAAGGACTTTATGTTCGGCACTGCTATATTTCACTGTTATTTCTCTATTTCACTGCTATATTTCACTTTAACCTCTTTGCTTATTTTCGACTCCATTCTTGAGTTATTTCATGTCATAGAAAGACCCAAAACACCCACGCACATATCAAAAAATTCGAAAAGTGATCTTATTGGAAGTTCACCAAATTATTTTGTAATCATGCATAAGATATCAGTGCAATCAGCAAAAAATCTGGAGCAGATTTTTCTTACATATCTCGTGCTCATTATGGTCGATCTGAATCAAAAACCGCCATTAGAGAGTATCACACCTTGGGATTTTGCATCTGAGCGCACAGCTAAACCTATTCCATGCAAACATTCACTGCAAATTCTTTGATATGAACTGCTTATCGAGTATGTAACAGTGGAGAACCAAGCTCCCCCCCCCCCTCCCCCAAGAATGGGTCGCAAACTCTTTGAAATTTACTTATATGGGTTATAAAAATATACAACTATTCGTTTTTTTTAAATAATTGAAATAATTCTTGGATTCCTCAAAAAAAATCAGATTACTCGGTAAAAAGAATTTTTCTGGGGGCGTCTAGGAGTTATGGGCCCGCGAATTTTGAGAAGCACCCCAAAGAAATTTTCAGAGTTGGCTTACGCCAAGCACCTACATTAGAAAATTTGTGCTCCCTCCCCCCCCCCCCCCTTTCCTCGGATGGAAATTCTGGGATACCACCGGTATGCAATGAATAATTTATATGAGAAAATAATTTTCAAGCAATAAGAAGTTAAAGGTTACATTGAATGCTTTTGAGACCTTCTTTCTCAAAGGCATTCCTTTATGTTTATTGAACGCTATTTGAAATTTGTCTTTACATACCGGTTTATGGTTTGCTTCCGTCTTTTGATTGTAAGTGCGCAAGAACTGACAAAGATTTGCGGAATGAATCAATACGTGTTTTGAAGGCTTGAGAAACGGAGAACTAGTCAAGAGGACACACAAATTCCGCTACCCTGCCTGATACCATCGTACTGCATATACGAGCATCAGAAAATCGCATGGATGTTATCCTCGCGCAATTTGCACATCCAATGCTAATTTCTAAAGTACGTAAAAAATTGCCATGCCTATCGAATACATTTCTACTACTACATTCAACATATCCAATCTCAAACTCATTTTCAACCCCCAAGATAGTTTTATGTTCGATCTTTATGTGAAATCCTTCATGCATGAACATCCTCGCAAGTTCTCCATTCCTGTTAGTACCCCTCGTAGTTTGTGAAAAAAATCACCGCACTCCGCGGAAGTTCGCCGAACATCGCATCGTCATATCTTCCCATAGAGTGGACTCATTCTGCAAAACACTCGACTCAGCTCGACGAGATGCATACCCTGATACATAGAAGTGCTTAATTAGGCATGGAAATGGTCAGAATTCACGGATCCTTCCAGATTTTTACTCATGGGATGTTCTTCAGGTAGCTTATTCATTGCACAATGAATAACCTACCTTAGGTTCCGGGCTAGCAGGCGATTTTGGTCACCACGCGACTTGGCCATACTCCAGTTGCTTATAACCCGTCGCAAACTCATTTTAAGCACACGGAAAAATAGTACATTTTATCCTCACAAAAGTTGAATCATCAATCACACCAAGCATTCTCTGCGGGGGTTGGATTTGAAGGATCTGGCAAGTGGTCAAATCGCGCGGCGACTGAAATGGGAGGTACCCGCGATATCAACCCAATGTCCTCCCTCAACATGACGTGGATTACATGGATTGTTGAGACGCCGCCTCGCTTCGGGCCTGCGCCACGTTGCAGGCGCACCATCTGACATGACGTGGCGCTCAAAATAACGTGATGGGCTTCCCTATAATGTTCTTGTTACCACGCCACGCCAACGATGCGCACGCAACGTGGCGCAAGCCTGAAGCGAAGTGGCGCCTCATGAATCCACGTCATGTTGAGGGAAGACATATGGGTTGATATCGAGGGTATGTCCCGGGCCACGAGCAAAAAACTGGAAAGATCCTTGAGATTTGGCCGACTACGGTGCCCAAACAAAACTGAAAGATGCGTTTCGTTGAGTGAGAGGAATGGTGTTTTTGGATTCAGAATTCGTCCACCTTGAAGCAACATATGGCGATGCGACGCGGAGTTCGTCGAACTCCGAACTATGCGGCGATTTTTCTCGCAAACGAGCGGTATTGTATGCGTTCGTCACAATGTAAGTAACAAACCTTTTATCGTGTTTTTATATTTTTGGTGCCCACCCATTGATCATATGATTTAAGTTTTTGCTCACCTTCTGCAGTAAATGTTTCTGCTTGTATTAGTCATGTAGACTCATCAGTCAAAACAAAATCTAGGCCGAATTCATGTAAAAGAAGTCCTTGTAAACCGTGTACTCAGCCGTACGAAACTCATTTTCTTCGGAATATTCCGTTCATATTTCTTGGTAATCGCCAAATCTTAAGCGTTACACAACGTATTTGTCCATATTGCATAAATATGAATCGCATTGTGTTTTGAGCGTTTTCGACATTGAACGATCGTTGTGGTGAATGTGATTGTCCAAGAATTCAGAGCCTTCTTGACATTTGACCAATTCCAATGCTTAAATGCCACTGGTAAACATTCTCAACTATTTATTGGTGTTTCCTTGCTGATAATAATTTGCACTTTATTGTCCATCACTTTCATTGCATTAGTGCTGGCTGCCGGTGTAGTCACCGTCACCAACATTCTCTATTCAGGCAAGTTCTTCTCAAAAGCATTCTCACTCTAGACTCGTAACAGTATGCAAGTTACAAAAACGAATCACTGGTTCTTGCAAACGCCCCTGTCATCAAAGGGAATGCTCAAAAAGCCTCTTCTGTGATTTTGCGACCTCACATTGGAAGGGAAGAAGGATTTTTAGCGAAAGTGCTACGCACATGCATGCTATCTGCCTTACGACTAACAACAGATGACCTTGTGAAGAATGTTTTCACAGGGTCTTCCACACACGCTGTGATGTCCAGATAAATGCTAAGCGTGCATGGAAAAGCTGCGTAAAAAATCGAATTGAATCAAGCAACTATTTCTGCAATTTTAATATTTATTCATAAAAATGAAAAGCATAGTTAAACACTCAAAAAATTTTCTGAGCGTTTTTAGTGCTTTGTTTTCATGCTAACCCTCTTCAGTCACCAATTATTCCTCCCCACCCCCTCTCCATATCTGTTTACCTTAGAGATTCCATGAATAGGTGACCTTTGTGTACTTCTGCCGAATAGCATTCCATTCTGACGTTAATTTCATGCAGAAAGGCAACCGCTTCAGCTATGACTCAGTGTTTGATGAATGCCCAAAATATCAAGCACACCTGTCCTAATTCATTGTCGGCACCTTTTTCTGCAAACAAGTATGATCAAACGTCAGAGTACGGAAGACATAAAGCTAGCTACCTGTCCGTCCTTACAGTCACCGACATCGGGATGGCACAAGAGATATAGATAGTGTGCTCTCGCACATATTAACAAACGAAGCTGAAGTGTGTTTCATGAAGAAATTTTTTCACATATGGCTCGGAGGCATTGTCTCATTAACTACAGTAACTAGTAAATGTGAGATGGTGCTATGGTCAAACTAGTATAATCAAAAGTCGAATCTTCCTATAGATGCAGCAGCATGCAAGCGGCTTCAAACTCAATTTCACTTATTCGTAATAATACCATTACAAAATTCAGTGCTTTGCATCAACCCGTAAGACGCGCAACCGATCTAACTCAAAAAATACGTGCTTGCTCCACATAAAAGATATGACAATTTCTCTGTGATATGACAATTTCTCTGTGTCTTTCTCATTTGCAAACTTCTCCTGACGACACTTGCATGATATCAGCCTCATAAAGTCTACGCTTTCCCAACCAATTAATATTTTATTTGCAGATACAGCCAGCAATGGTAGTACATCGCCTAGTCACCCAATGGGTGACGTCGTGCGCTGTTTTCTGTACATTATTTCACATCATAGACGCCTCAAATCAGACCTCTATTACCGATACTATCACGAATACTACTAAGCAATTGTCTGGAGACATCACCGTTGAGCGATCCGTACAGGCTGAACAACTGGAAGCATCTGGAGCTGATGACTCCATCATTTCTGCGGGCCCATCGTTACTTACTCTTGCACACCTCCCAACGAAAAGCAATATCAGAAAACGAGCAGCTGATTTTGTAAGCAAGACATATACTCTCATCCGATAACACTCTATTATCATTTACTTCACAGTACAATGGTGTCGTTGGTCCACAATTCTACATTCCCTTTGACATCACAGCGCCACGTTATCCGCACACTCTTGTGATGGGCCTGGGCCGGCCGCTTCAGCGAGGAGGCCTCTTTCCCCATGTAGAATACGTAGCCCAATGGTAAGTTATAATCAATCCCAATTCAATTTTGATAACATTCTCTAAATGTTAATACTATTCCTTTCTATGTTCCCGAAAGGAGGAGGACAACCTCACTGGGGAACAGTGTCTTACGACAGTCGCCTCCAGAGCGAAGGAACTTTTATCCAAGTACGTCATTACTCCCACTTTTCCTTCGTACTATTGCTGCCTGTTTGTTTCGCTTTTGCTTTTGTCTGCTGTGAAGTAGTACATGGCCAGTATAAATATCCTCCTCAGACAGATGTTCCCACGGTTAAAATTGAAATGATGTCCACAACATCTCAGGTCAAGCCGTCGTCATAGTTCAGCTTTGACAAACACATCCTAACCTCAAAGGCAGTGAGCCTGACAAAATGACCTCTGTTAGACTTTGATGGAGTTGGAAGCAGATTTACAAGGGTACCGTAGTCCAGACCCAACTGCCAATTCATGCGCTGAAATCGAAGGAAGTGCTCGGAAAGCCTGACATTGACACCTCTCATGGAAGTTGTCGAGGCTGATGAGCTTCCAAGGTGCGCATTCGGGACATAGCGCATTAATTGGAAGGTAGGGAGGGGGCTATAATGTACTTGGGATTTCTGCTACCTAACACAACCAAGATCTGACACATGTCAATTTTGCCGGACTCAAGCCTTTGAGGGCAACTCGGTAAATTGGACCCTCGTTCAAATTTTAGTGGTGATAGGTAGTAGACCCTCCAAGCACACCATAGCCGCCTTACTCGCCAATCCATGGAAGTCCTCGCTTTAAAACCGCATCACTAAAGCCCACTCAACGAAAGTGGGCGGAGCTGGCCAAAGCCTAAAGAACGCTTCGAGGATTTGGCGCACGAAACTGGAATGTGGGGCTGCGTCTAAGGTGTACTTAAAGGCAATAACACCAATACCCGGCAAGGGTGCATTTTGCCTAAATTTGAGATCAAGAGCTTCAGGAAAGTGCATTCCCCCTTTTCCTGCACTCTCGCACTCTCTAAGCTGCATTTTTTCTGCATTTTTAAAATCAGCGGGAAGGATAGAGTAATCATAATGAATCCCTTTGCTTGCGTCTCCCAACCAGTCAAAGGCAGTATTTCACCAAAATTTGGTTGTCAGGATTTTTGCATACTTGCAAGCCTTTTCGTCTCTGTTTATCTCAATGCGGATCCAAATCGCTTAAAATTCACAAAAAACGCTTTTGAAAGTCTCATAAAAGCAATGTGGACGAGTTGTGCCTTCTCAGTCTAACCTCTGCCACAGTGGCAGCAACACCATGTGGACGCCAATTTGAAGTGCGTAAGGGGAGAACCGAGAGCGTCGGCCGTGCGGACCAAATCGCTCTTTACGGGCCTCTTTGAGGGCAAACTTCTCGGCGTAGGAAGGGCCGGATCGAGTCGGACTTGAAGGCAGCGTCGGGGTAAAAAGTTAATTTTGAGATATTTGTGCTTACCCGGGTCTATTCGCTATGATAAATCCGAAAATCCTCACTAGAAAGCGCCAAAACGGCTAAAAAGAGCTCTAACACAGGAGAGAAATCAGAGTTGGGCGGGGTCCTCCCCACTGTGAATTCACGCTCCCGCTTCCGGAGCCATCTTCTCGATTCCGATTTCAAGTCAGCGTACGTACAGGCCGTTGGAGATGTCAGGACGGCTAGGGAAATCGAGAATATCGCACTAAAAGCTTGGAGCTTGAAATCACATTGGGGAGGACCCCGCCCACCTGCTGATTTCATCCTGTGATAGAGCCCTTTTTCGCCGTTTTCGCGCTTTCCAATACGGATTTTCGGATTCAGCATCGAATAGGCCTGGGTAAGCACAAAATCTCAAAATCTACTTTTTACCCGACCTGCCGGTAATTGCCTATTCATGAAGTCCTCCAACAAAATAAGTGGAGACTCGCACTACCCCAATTGGTGAGACACCGCCTTTAAAATCACCTAAAAGCTTGACGCGTTCACAAATGAATACAGTCGATAGGCTGTGCTCGTATGTAGTGTTCGGCAGTACAGATTTGAATAAGAAAATTGCGGGACTTAATCTACCTAGCTAGCTCACATATCTGAAATTTTCTAACCGAATTCACAAGTTTTAGAACGGACGAGTAATGAATTTAACACAACCCTCTATGCGCCAAGAGAGAATACGACTCCTTCAGTATGTGGGAACTCCAGAAAGTAATAATTTCAAGTGAGTTTTCTTGGAAGCTACTTCTAAAGATGACTCATATTTGTCTAAATAAGCTCACTCCCTTTCTATCCCAGAAGAGTTTTTGGGGGCTAGACTTGAGCTAATTCAGTGGGATGTTTGCCTGTTTTTTTGTTGCTAGTTGTTTAGTGTAATGCTTCGTTTTTGTGTAAATGGGCATCACTTGTGCGTATCAAATAAATAATTAAAATAAGTAAAGGGCCGGGCATACATCACGCGATTTAACCGCCTCGCGATTCTCACAACAAGATATCTGGTACGTATTCATTGCATGCTGATCATCTTGCATTTCAGTTGCAATAGTTGGTCGCGATTATTCATGTCGAAAACTATCACAACCGAAATGCAAGATGATCAGCATGCAATGAACCGGTAACTGTTGTCTTGTTAAGAGGCTAAGCGATGAAATCGCGTGATGTTGCCCGGCCCTTAAACTTGATTATAATGACAAAATGGAATTATCGTCGTATTATCGTATCATCCAGACTTGCTTATTGCAACATAGAAAGAACATGATACCTGTACGCAACCGCGAAGAGTGACCAAGAAATTATACTTGGGGGGGGGGGGGGGAGACAGAGAAGGAGGGGGCACGAAAGATTTAATGAAGTGACGCAGCACTAGTCAAGTCGCTCGATTTTTCGAATGCTTTTCACGTGCGACTCCTTGCCTCCAAAGAAAATTTTTCCGACGAAACTAAATTGAACTTTTTTAATTATCACATTGCTTTGATGATTTGTATGTGAAAGCAAGCATGGATGATGTTACAAAAATGGCTACCCTAATTTCACGCGCACAAAATGCGGAGGAATCTTTCCAAAGAGCAGCCTGAACAGTCAAAAGCTCCGCGACCAAAGGGCCCTATTCCTTGCTGCATAATGCCTATGAGATTCATGTGGCATAAGGATCGCTTTCCGAAATACAGTGAAGCGGCAGAGCGGCTTGCTTGAGAAATCGAAAAAGGTGCATCTTGTACGCGTGAAATTAGGGTACTTGGAATTTCGAAGTTTGTTCTGCCCCTCCCCATTCTTCTTCTTCGATTTGCATCAATCATCAGCCTTCATATAAAATGTAAAATTCACCGATCTCATATGAAATATAAGATCTTATACAACAGATTTGTGTGGGTGCTCGCTAGAAATCTCGATGTGTCGACCGCAATTTCTATCCGAGAACGAGGAAATCTATGCAGTCCTCGTATGGCTCCAGCAGTGTTTCAAGTAATAGAATTTCGCTGTTCAAATTAGAGTACTAAATGAAGTTGTTTAGGACGAAGGCTACGAGTTTTTGGGAGAGGCGGATATTGAAAGTCGCACAATGCAATACGTGTATCAAGGACATCCTCACGTAGTAGATAAGGCAAGCTATCTTGATTTTCTAAACTTTGTAAGTGAAACTACCCAAAAAAACACCATTTTTTAGAAAAGAACTGATCATAACTCACGCAGCCTTTGCACTGCCAAGATATTCCAGTAATTGCTTAACATAAACTTTGCTCATTATGTAAACAGTTGGTTGAGCAGTGATACTACCCTAGAATTTCCCTAGATCATTGAAAATTTTTGCAATGCTCTTTTTGGCAAGGAGATCTTTTTGATATTTTACGTCGCTATGAAAAATGTGAAGATCTGCCCATTTTTCCAACATAAAACTCAACGTGCCAAACTTACCGCACAGAGCAAAAGTGGTGTAATCATATTGCTTTTGTTTTCGACCCTAATTGTATGGATCACGAAGACGAGTCAATTGGTCGAAACTTTCTAGTTTTTTAAATCTTTCTAAAAACATAACGGTTCATCGTGCTTCAGAATTGATATAGTCAAACTTTAGAGTCAATTCCTGTCCAATGTCTATGTGCTCATCAAGCAACGATGTAGCTGTTCGTGTGCAGGTGGCAATATACAAAGCTAACGAAGTCCTCTTCAATACAGAATAGGCGTTTTTAGAAGGTACAGTTGACAATACTGATATGCCCCTCCTAGAATCAGTCTCACCTTATTATTACACCAACCCTATTGTACTTTACAGTAGCATTATGTGTTTCACCAAAGTACCAAAGTTCTTGTACACCTACCATTTATGACGGGTTCTTCAAATTTTTGCTAATCCTGTGGTAGGCAGGGCGTAGACGCGGCTTTTTTCCGCAAATCATACAATACCGCTCACATTTTTTGAAAAAAAGACGCGAATGTATGGACATGTATGGACATGTACGGACATGTCCATACATGTACGGACATGTCCATACATGTATGGACATGTCCGTACATGTCCGTACATGTCCATACATGTATGGACATGTCCATACATCAGCGTCGCGTGGCCATATCTCGCTCAGGGCCCGGCAGAAGGTGGCATTCTAGATTTTACAAGACGACTTCCCCTTTGTCTCTGGGAGAATTTTACGAGTTCCCCTTTGAGGCCTGGCACAAGCTATGTGCCTGATCTAGCACGCTCGCAAGATTTGAGCAAAATTACTTTAAAAATCTTATTCCTTTTTGAATGCGTATTAGCGAAGGTAAATCTTATGTTGCTATAGGAGATGATGATCTGTACGCGGTATTCACTATAACACCGCAATTTTAATCAGCTTCGTTTGAAAAAAAAAGCTGTAGAAAGCTTATGAGTTTGCATAATCGAACGCAAGACATCGCACACCGAGATGCTAGAGTGGTCAGAAAAATCAACAAATCCTATCAGCACGCTTTTTTATATCATGGTTATAACTGCGCCTAATATACGAAGGCACCTCAAAAATTTCAAAAGAGTATGCCTAATTTTCGATTCAAAACTTTTCTGTACACTTCCCCTGAAAAACAACTCGTGTCGCAACTGATTTGACTTCGACGTTATCCGCAGGTCAAAAATGGCACGCCCTTGTTAATCTGCTAGATGTTCGAACACTAGAAGCACTCTACGACTCTGGTTGCGCTTTGGCAAAAAATCACGTCGTTCCATAGATCATTTACTTGTAAATTTTTGAAATACACGTATACATCAGAAAGTTTTGTAGAGCTACAATCACAATCTACTAAGGCCTATCAGAGCATGACAATTTAAAAAGAAGCAAACGTGTATGAATAATCATTGCCAAGCTATACACGATGAATTTTGAAAATTGCTTAGGTACTTTCCACAAAACATTTCGCCAGCAATGAATATCAGGCTATGAAATGCACTGCTATATGCTTTGTCACCGTCGAACGCGTGTGGAGCTATTGCGCACTTGGTAGCAGAGGTCTACGTCCGAACAAGACAGGCAGCATAACCATATCCGCAATCATTTTCCTCTATTTGGCCTGCAGAAAGGTTTATCAATGAGTTTCACCCGTTTTTTGATTCGATAATAAATACCTGATGATTTCCGTAAAACTCTTATGGAGAGAAAAAGCAGATGCAGAACAAGTAATTCGAAGTATAACAGTCGCACAGTGATTGGCAATGCAATGTTGAAATCACTAGCGTCAAAAGGAAACCCCTCGCTGCTTTTCTGTGCTACACAAAAACGAAAACAGAGTAGGAAGCAAATAATCAAAGAGTTTCTCACATACCTTTTGAACTTTCGAATAGCATCAATTAGGGCAATCAAGTTGATGTAATGGAATGTACAACAGATCAGCACATCAGTCGGACCCTATCCCCACCGGTAGCACCGGCATCTAAAAGGATACGTGCTTGCCTCCGTTCAAAGAAGTGAGATATAGAATGATGCCCAGTAGAGAAGCATAGAGAGTCGAAGTGCTACTGCTGTAAGAAATCCATAGAGATGTAAAAACCGTTTAGACTACTTAAACTCACTCTTTAGCAGCAGATAACCATAAGATTGAGACTTGGGTGATGGGAAAAAAGCGATTCTTGCGGTTTAAACATCCACGCGCAATCAAGAGATCTGAGCAACACCTTGAAATGCAATAATTCCGGAGAGATAAGCATAAATTAAAAAGAGTCATAAGAAGCTTTTGCCTGTAGTGCATAAAATAAACCAAGCATACCAAAAAACTTGCAACCATTGGGGTTGCAATTCGAGAAAATTCACAGCGTTAGGTAATCGAGCGGTCGTAAAATCCGGCGCAATTGCAGAACTGCAGCTAAATCAATGTTAGATTTCAGCACGTAAGGAATAGGCCGCTGTAAGTTCCACTTGCCCTGTAAAGATTGCAGCATAAACGATGTAAAGAAACATCACACGGGAAAAATTAGATCACTTCCGGAAACATCGAATAATACGCAATTTATGAACAAAGAGGACAAGGCACAATCATAGAAAGCAAGTGATAAATGATACAAAGTGAAAAGTGCTCTTGAATCCGTATGCTTGGCGGGCGGAGGATCCTTTGCGATTGGAGCGCGCTTTCCGAGGCCGATCATAACGCTGTGAACCCTATTTGGGGCTGCATCGAAGCGGTGCCTTGGTGGTTTTGGAAGCGGATCTGAACATATAGTAATACTCTCGATCTAGTCCACATTTATGTAAAGAAATCCGGGAACTTATGTGAAGGGAAGCAGGGAGCCACCCCAGGTGGCTCCCAGGTGGCGCGGGAGCCACCTAATTTCGAAAAACACTTACCATTTTTTAAATTCACATAAGTTTCTCATAATTCTTCATACTTTTTTTGCGCTCATGGTCCTCCAACTATACAGCAAATTTGGTGCCATATCGTTACTTGTGCATTGAAAACGAGCCTATTTTGTTATTTTCCTCTTACAAGAATTGCGATTTGAATTCCCGCCTGCGGGCAGGCTAGCGATCGGAGCACAGAATCTTCACATTGCTGAGATCTGAGTTCATAGGACAGTAGCATCAACAAGGAATGATGAATAAAGAATGATATGTGCATTGTTTATCGGTAAACAAAGGGGAAGTCGTATTTTGGGGTCCGGGGCGGAGCCCCGGACCCCAAAAGACGACTTCCCCTTTGCTTTTTCGGGCCAAAAACGATATCCAGCTTGTGAAAGCGCCACCCCCGCCGGGCCCTGATCTCGCTTCAGAGTGGATGAATTCTGAATCCAAGGTCACCATTCGATTCAGCTTGGCGCGGAGAATCTTCTGATATATTGGAAGTGGGAGTACGATGTCTTCGATATTCCGTTTCCAGTTTTTTTCAATTGTTCTGCGGAGGTCCTTTCGCGAATATGTGAAGCAACGCCTACCCAACATAGAAGACTTTACTGAGAACTATTCGATAATACTGTTCTTGTAGATTATTGTGCGCTAAAAAATAGGCTCAGACTTTTTTCCAATGGAGATAGAAGAGTTGGTGAATTTTGGAAAAATCACGCGTTTTTAAATTCTACTCGCCATAACTTCCTTCGGAATAAGTATATTTTGAATCCGAAAGCAGCGCCTTGCTCAGCTCATCAAGGCGAATCTTTCTATGTACAGCATGTCCTTGATATTTCGATTTCAATATTCTTGAATTTTTCTGAGGACGTCTTTTCGCGAAGGTGTAAAGCAGCGAGCATTGTCCCGAGTACATTCCAGCAAGGATCTTTCGATATCAATTTTTCTGTAGATTATGATGTGCTAAATAGTAGCCGCAGGTTTCTTTTCAAAGGAAATAGAACGGCTGGTGAATTGTGGAAAAATTTTGTCGTCCCAAATTCTACTCGCCATAGCCGCAGGATACGAAGCTATCTTGCTAAGCAGATGTGAGTTTCGAAATCAGCAGGTCGGATAACCCTTATGAGCAAGTTTTCCGAGATGTTCGGGTTATTTTATTTTTTCTCGTTTTCCGCTCCAGAAGCTCGCCGATGGGTTTTGGTCAAAATGTTGATGATCCTGAATTGTAAGGAAACTTCGCTTATAGAGGTTTTCGGACACGCTCTTTACGAAAATCGTGGTCTATGAGGATTACAGGGTCTTTTTGGAGAGATACGGTGAGGTGACTGTAACTGCATCACGGAAGTGCGTAACTTTGGCCGCACTTCTCGCTTATCTGTCAGAAACCTTGCCTGCTTGCTTTTCTAAGTCAAAACTACTAGGAACCGCGCTATCGAATGGTGCAATACTCAGGCTCCAGCCTGTGAAATTCGCCGAGTTAAGAGCCTACGAAAACACGTCCTCATGAATTTTGCCCAAAGTGTAAAGATCGCATATCTCGTCAAAATTCCTCCGTGAGCGCTTGTACAATGCGCTAATCAAATTATTTTTATTTATTTATTCTATACGCTCTTGGCGTTCCATACAATAGAATAGAAAGCAGACATTTATAGTCTAACCGCAACGATAGTGCATCATTAGTTTAGGTCTAATCTAGATAAAAATGTGATGAAAGCTTGTATTTGACTGCTCTATGATTATAATTATCGGAATTAAATGATGCGATTTATGGAGATGTACCCATGCCCCCCTTTTGCCAGCAAAATATTAGGTTGTACCGAAAGTTCGTTCGCACCATTTTCAAAAATTCATAACTCGTCAACTTCTTAACGAATTTGTACGAACAAAATTTTTCTTAAGAGAGGAACTCCTGCTCTTTGCATCTGTATCTGAACTGTTCGTTAATATTCACAAATGAAGGAGACAGAAGGTAAAAACCAAAATCACTCAAAATATGAATTTTTCGTGTAGGGTCATAAAAAATCGGAAGCTTGCAACAAAAATCGGAACAATCGGTATTATAGGTACTTTCACCAGCTCTTTCCAACAGTGCAAAGTTTGCGCCGATTGAGTGTCTCTATGAAAAGTTATGATTTTTGAGCAAGCAGTACAAAAGGGCGAATTTGATTCATTTTGGCGTTTTCCAGAATCGTAACTTTTCATAGAGACCCTCAATCAGCGCAAACTTTGCAGTGTTAGAGAGAGCTGGTGAAAGAACCTACAATACCGACTGCTCCGATTTTTGCCGCAAGTTTCCGATTTTTTATGACCCTACACGGAAAATTCAAATTTTGTATGTTTTTGGTTTTTAGCTTCTATCTCCTTCATTTGTGAACATTAACGAACGATTCAGATACAGATGCAAAGAGCAGGAGTTCCTCTCTTAAGAAAAATTTTTGTTCGTACAAATTCGTTGAGAAGTTGACGAGTTATGAATTTTTGAAAATGGTGCGAACGAACTTTCGGTACAACCTAATATTTTGCTGGCAAAAGGGGGCATGGGTACATCTCCATAAATCGCATCATTTAATTCCGATAATTATAATCATAGAGCAGTCAAATACAAGCTTTCATCACATTTTTATCTAGATTAGACCTAAACTAATGATGCACTATCGTTGCGGTTAGACTATAAATGTCTGCTTTCTATTCTATTGTATGGAACGCCAAGAGCGTATAGAATAAATAAATAAAAATAATTTGATTAGCGCATTGTACAAGCGCTCACGGAGGAATTTTGACGAGATATGCGATCTTTACACTTTGGGCAAAATTCATGAGGACGTGTTTTCGTAGGCTCTTAACTCGGCGAATTTCACAGGCTGGAGCCTGAGTATTGCACCATTCGATAGCGCGGTTCCTAGTAGTTTTGACTTAGAAAAGCAAGCAGGCAAGGTTTCTGACAGATAAGCGAGAAGTGCGGCCAAAGTTACGCACTTCCGTGATGCAGTTACAGTCACCTCACCGTATCTCTCCAAAAAGACCCTGTAATCCTCAAAGACCACGATTTTCGTAAAGAGCGTGTCCGAAAACCTCTATAAGCGAAGTTTCCTTACAATTCAGGATCATCAACATTTTGACCAAAACCCATCGGCGAGCTTCTGGAGCGGAAAACGAGAAAAAATAAAATAACCCGAACATCTCGGAAAACTTGCTCATAAGGGTTATCCGACCTGCTGATTTCGAAACTCACATCTGCTTAGCAAGATAGCTTCGTATCCTGCGGCTATGGCGAGTAGAATTTGGGACGACAAAATTTTTCCACAATTCACCAGCCGTTCTATTTCCTTTGAAAAGAAACCTGCGGCTACTATTTAGCACATCATAATCTACAGAAAAATTGATATCGAAAGATCCTTGCTGGAATGTACTCGGGACAATGCTCGCTGCTTTACACCTTCGCGAAAAGACGTCCTCAGAAAAATTCAAGAATATTGAAATCGAAATATCAAGGACATGCTGTACATAGAAAGATTCGCCTTGATGAGCTGAGCAAGGCGCTGCTTTCGGATTCAAAATATACTTATTCCGAAGGAAGTTATGGCGAGTAGAATTTAAAAACGCGTGATTTTTCCAAAATTCACCAACTCTTCTATCTCTATTGGAAAAAAGTCTGAGCCTATTTTTTAGCGCACAATAATCTACAAGAACAGTATTATCGAATAGTTCTCAGTAAAGTCTTCTATGTTGAATAGGCGTTGCTTCACATATTCGCGAAAGGACCTCCGCAGAACAATTGAAAAAAACTGGAAACGGAATATCGAAGACATCGTACTCCCACTTCCAACATATCAGAAGATTCTCCGCGCCAAGCTGAATCGAATGGTGACCTTGGATTCAGAATTCATCCACTCTGAAGCGAGATATGGCCACGCGACGCTGATGTATGGACATGTCCATACATGTATGGACATGTACGGACATGTACGGACATGTCCATACATGTATGGACATGTCCGTACATGTATGGACATGTCCGTACATGTCCATACATGTCCATACATTCGCGTCTTTTTTTCAAAAAATGTGAGCGGTATTGTAGATGTAACGTATTTTCCCTAAACATATGTAGCTTTAATATTCGAAAATTTCAACATCTGTTAAATATGTACTTGCAAAAATATGTTCTTATTCTCATATCATTTATGTCGAATTATTGACGAACATACATTCCAGTGGGCTTTAACAGGTTTAGAGGGCCAAAGTTTACGATGTTTCAAATGCGGCCTTTATAGGGAAATTTGATTTTTTCATGTGATTCACTGTTTCACTATGTGGTTCGTGATTACTTATATTGTGATTATTTATTCACTGTGATCCGCGTGTTATTTGATGTTACGTGTATATAAAACTATGAAAACTTCGATTATTCGGTTATTGTTATTCAAGCAGCACGCACCAAATCATAAGGATAAAAAGAGCACATGAGTCTGTATTTATCTGTATTTATACATAGCCCAAACGAATGTGGCTCCTCTGGCAATCATACAGTTATTAGGTTGTGTAATAAGTTCTGTCCCATTTTTTCTTTCGATTTTTTCCCAATATTTTGCGCGATGTTATAAAAATTGTCTATATGCATTTGAAAGCTCTAAGCCTTCTCTACAAATACTTTCATTTCGATTTACTACATCAGATGACTTGAAAAAGTTTTACAGCGTTAAATTTGGAAAATCAAACAGGGAAAAAGTCCATTTTCGACAGCTGCGTTACGTCGCCTTCCTAATTAGTCAGAAAGCCTGCGAATGAGCTCGAAGAATTAGCTACACGTAAGAAAAGAATGCTCTAGCTTTTATTGCGCTTCAGGAGTGCTGAAACTCTTTAGAAATCATTTCTGTAGCTCTAGAAAAGTCCTCTTTCTGATGCCTTTTCAACGTTGGTGTTGGGCATCATCTGAAGGCATCCTGAGGGAAGAGATCATCCAGAAGAGACAGAAGGGATGGTTTGTGGATCCAAAATTATCGAATTCGTAGCTTAAATACTCAAAATTCAATTTTTGGGAGCCACACAGCTTGGGTACGCGAGACGGCGAACATCGCCGTGACATAGTCTTGCCCTGCCGACTTTCAAAAAAATGTCATCAAATAGCCGGTGGAAGGAATGAGACATGTGCGAACAGTGATAGATTAAGGGTAAAAGCCTAATAGATTGTTTTCGTTGTTGTCAAGCTTGTTTAATAAGTTTTATCAATAAAAATCGAGAAAAATTTGGAGGAAAAAAGATGTCGAAAATTGATTTTTCGCTCTTCGGATTTTTTGTTTCAATGATAAAAATCTTTTTCAGTTTCCTGCTATGTTGGGGAATGATGCATATGAGCCTGCAGAGCAGACCTGGAGCTTTCAAAAGCATATACAGTTCGTCTCAAATATAGTCAATGTTATCAAGAAAAAATTTAACAACAAATGGGACAGAACTTATTACACGACCTAATATGTACGTGTCCGTAAAATGTTATCGCGCGCACGGATGTGCAAAAATTCGCAATCAGTTGTATTTGGAATTTTTTTTCGTATCCTTGTTCGTATTTAATTAAGGTAGCTTAGTTCTCTATGACTGTGGTGCAGCTTTGACAATTCAAACCTTTGAAAAAGAACTAAATTTCCATTTATGTTCATTCGGAAAAGGGTGAACAATTGAATTAAATATATACGCACAATGGTCACATAAGTGCTACCATTTCTTGGTGCAAGCAAGCTTCTTCAACGAGCTTCTGTGAAAACACTTCGAACATCATTGAAGAGATTCTCAAGACAATTGAACGATTGTGGCTTGACCTGGCGATTCTATTTAGAAATACTTTTGTGACCCACGGATGCTCGCGTGCATGCGAGACTACGAGCATTTATAAATTTTTGACCTGTTGCTAGCAGAGGAAGGCCAATCGCTGAAGAATGCTGTTTACTTCTGGACTTTCATTAACAAATTCGGCATTCAATGGTTTATGTAACACCAATAATGCGTGTGCTAAGCCCTCACATCCCCATGCGTTACTAGTAGTCTCGAGTGTCACGGTCGGCGCTGCACGGATTCTCGCGAGCCGCCACGCTTGGGCCACTCGACGCGTTCGCAAAAGTGTCTCAGAACATTTTCCCAAACTCTCAGCCATTGACGCATAAGGGTACAGTATCTCCCACTCCTCAAGCGAGGTTTTACCATATCTGAGGGTCGAATGCGGCGAGTGACCCCAAGCGAGGCGGCTCGCGAGGACGCAGCTGCGCCGACCGAGACACTCACATTGGAATTCCTTCTACACTGCGGAGAATATTCACACAATCTAGTAGCAGCGAACTTGATCGATAGTTTATACCAGTTATATGTGCATAGGCCAAATTTAACTCAAAATTTACTCTATGAAGGTGTTCAAAAATTTGGAAAAAGAACGCTGGGAGCTCAATAGGCACTATTCTTACTTTTCGACATTTTCAAATTAGTGAAAAAAATGCTGTCCCAAGAAGGATGACTATATGTGCGGCATATGACAGCAAGAGTACAGTATGCTTATTTGCAACGAATCTTTATCTTTATATATTACCCTCAAGGTGGAATCTTCTTTCCTCTGCAGAATTTGCATGGTCGAGTTACTCTCCTGGTCTTGTAATCTTTTGAATAGTAAGTATTTCACTGAGGCCCATTGTGCGACGCAGTGCTTTCTGATAATATGCAGATAACAGCACCACCTTCATATGGGACTTCCTAGTATCATTTACTCGCGGCTTATAAGTCATGATAAGTTTAACTGCAAATTATCGGACTCCTTGTACACTCCTCATTTCCGAGCCTTTCACTTGGTAGCGGTGCGTGAGGTATGCAGATTCGCTTCTATGAAGTCGAATTTGTATCAAATCGTTATTCAGTAATATAAATAGCTCAAGATGTATGGGCTCCTCCGTGTGGAGGCGGGCTGCGGCCTCTCCCTGATTAGGATAAACTGTTTGAACCTCCACGTCATAGCAAAGATTTGATTTTCGTAATCTCTCGCTATCAAAAACCGCCACACTTTGAGTTCGCAAGACTCCACCTCCACACGAACCTGGAAGCCGATTATAAAGTTGTTGGGTTTCCCTCTTTGCAGTAAAAATGTACGACTTACTTACCCTAACTTCAATGGCAACGTCCTTGACAATTATATTGTATTCACTTATGTCCTGTGGAGGACGAACACCCAAAAGCGAGTCAAGCCATCCAGGGGACCACGGCGAGCCTCATACATCCTCAAGTGAATCAGGAGTAAGAGAACTCAGCAGTGCAGTTGTACAATAGAAAAAAAGAACTGTTTTCAGAAGACAAGACCTCATAGAAATGAGGAAAAGCATGAGAAGGCAAAATTACCTACTTTGGAAAAGAAGGAACATGAAGATCAGGTGCGTCGGTGCTGGTATATACAGAAACCAGGACTGAATCATCGAGAAATTTTCTGAAGCATAAGCTAGTGATGGTTTCCCTTTCAAACTCTTAGCATTTTGCCGCTTACGAGCATTGTTACAGAAATTGCCTGGAGCAGTGCAGCAGCCACATCCAGCTGTCGATGAGGGTAAACAAGGAGGCGATGACGGCTACGAGTCTTGTCCTGACATGACCCCTACACAGCTGGCAAAAGTATTGGCAGAGATGAAGTGAACATCTTGACTAACCATAAGCATAGAATTACAACAACAAAGACTTGCTTTGATTTAATAAATCTGTTAACGTAAATGAGGTAAACAAATGGGCTGAAATCGATGACAAATGCTCCACTTTAACCGCTCTGAAGATCGAAATACGGCTGTTTTTTTTTTCGTTGAGAGAGAAGTAGCCCTAACGTACTTACGCCTCGAATCACAAAAACAAACAATTCATAGGAACCATTTACAGTTGAATATGCATAGTTACACTGCAAACCTGAACATCTTTGTACAAGAGAATGATAGGTCACAGAATATTGAGATAATGAGCAAGGATGAGATTACCATGCAAAAAAAAACAGAAGTAATTTAGTACAAGCTCAATGAAAAGAAGATTTGAGCAGTTGTAAATGCGGAGAGAACCGCCCAATTACAGTTACCAAACTCACAAGAAAGAGATTTTATAGATACAGAAATTTCAATACTATTATCGTGAATCTTCTTTTGAATCTATCTATAACATGTGTTCGATAGAAATTTGCTAAGGAACAATTGTGGAGATATAATTTTCTGTTTCAATCAGAATAAGATCAAAAATTCATGACAAGAAAAATGCGAATTTTTCGCAAAATATGGTGAAACTTTCGTTCCAACCCAATAATATTTTAACTGCTATTGGTGTCCCACTGCTCATCCTCTTTTAACTTGTTGTGTGTCTTTTGGTGTGAACTATAAGACAAACTTTACTTGGAGCTCAGTAAGGCAACATAGAAAAATTACCTTGGCACACTTTATTCTTCCAGGTGTTTTTACTGATGGAGGTGTTTTACAGCTCTGTATAGAAGGCACTTGCAAATAAACAAATGGGAACTACAGTAAAACTCACACTTTGCGTTTTGATAACATCTAGACGCAAACTAGATGATGCAACCTCTTCAAAGTTTTCACGACTCTTCTTGGGTATTTTTGCCGGGGTGTCGTAATGAAAGGTCTCTTCTAGTTCAGACTCTTCTGATCTGTCAGGAGAATCGACAGATCCTCGTACTTCAAGCACACCTGACATGGCTCAGTGAACTTCAAGGCAGTGTTCAGGCAAGTCTAGACACATTGAGAGAAATGATTTTGGGGTTCCCGAGCAAGACACCGTCCAAGCGCCAGCGCAGTATGCGCAATCACTCTGAGATATCGTCTCCGAACAAAACCCCGCTACCGTAATGGCGGACGACTCAGTCAATCGCAAGATATTGCGAGGACGCTGGATCTGTACACAAAGGTTGCTCGTCGTCCGCCGAATACAGCGGCGAAGTCTAGTTCAACATGTTGAAAATCACGCATCTTAATTCACATAAAAATGGACTGAATATCTATGCGGTTTAGACAGCTGAACAGCTATCGCGATGCCCTGTGTTCTATGTGACAATTACGCCAAAAATACTATTACTGCGTAGAGATCACCTTAGAACTTTTCCCTTACACATGAAAAACAGATGCACGAAGGTGCAAATGGGAGCCAAGGCGTGCATACGCGCGTATGCACACCTTGGCTCTGTCGTCAACTTAGAGGTGAAAATCTCAGTTGCAAGTGCACTATTTACGCTGCCGCTTGAGCAGAATTTTAGGGCCGCATGCGTTAACATCGTCGCCGAGGAGACTGAGCTCAAAAAGAAGCTACATATCCTGAAAGTGAAAGTATCTGGATTTCACGCAGCCTGTCACCCATAGAGATTCCTGCTCCTTTCTCGAATGAACTAAAAAGAGCACTTTATTCTAAGTTGCATTTTTCATTTTTTGTATGATCCCTGTTGTCCCCAGCAGTGGACCTTTTTTCTTCAGAATCGTTCCGTTTTCTTTAGAAGTACTCATTATATAACCTAAGCATGTTTCGAAAAAGAGCACCCGAAGTATTGCAGTAATGAAAAATTTCGATCTTATTTATGTAAGTCTAGAAGACTGCTCCTATATAACCTAAAATCCTTCGCATAAAGGCATAAAACACTTGCTTGCTCTCGAAGTTCTACTAGCAACTGAGGAGTTTGAGGAGTCACTGCCAAGACGAATTCTTTTCACATGTGAAGGTGACGCGAGTGTTCTACGAGGAATCTCGAGCAAACCCTCCTAAACAAGCGAATTCGTGAAGGATAGATATAAGCAGGGTCAAGCGTGGGGTGCGGCACGCCACACCTGGGGGGTCGTATTGAGGAGTCAAAAGGGGAGGGGGTCGTAGTTGGGTAATCTGATAATAGTGATAACATGATATTTGTATCATATCCATAATTAACATGTCAATTAACCCCTGTAGACAAAGTGTGAGCGAATTCTGAAGATTCAAGATACTAGGCTACCTAAATGAAATGGTCAAATTCCAACATGGTTAACTTTGTTTCAAAGGTGAGTTAGCTATCCGTTTTTGCACTCAAGACAAAGCATTACTCCTTCTTTGTCCAATTCAGGAATCCCGCTTCAGAAGACCTGCAAACTGTGGCATTAGAAGCCAACCAAAATCTCGTTTTTCCCATTTTTCGCTTTTGATCGCTGTGCTTTCACCAAATATTACTCAGAGCTAAGAAGACGAATCAGGCTCCAAACAGTCTTATGGAATCTACAAGGTTTAGGCTATCGATTCATATAAATACTGTCTGCTAAAAATGTTTTTTTAATATAGTTAATGGGGTGCGGCACACCCACTTGAAAGCTGCGGCTGCCGCAGCTTTTAAGGGGGTGTGCCGCACCCCCTTAACTTGCCTTCAAAATCCAGAAAGCGCTCCATTGCTGGTATGAGTATTGAGCACATAGCTTCTTCTTGCTACACTGGAAATTTGGAGCCGAACGCCCCACCCATAAGAAAATCATGGCCCTTTCAATATGCCCATTCAGATCAAAATCAGCCGTCAAATTACGTGTGATTGTAAAGTGCAGTCACAGAAAATCGGGCGTACAGCTCTCAGAAATCTGAAAACTCTCTAGAAAAAGCTGGTGTCCTCCAGAATGTCACACTTTGAGGTCCAGAGGTTAAGAGGAAGAAGAAGGGGTCGTTTGAGGGCTCTCATGGGAGGGGGGTTGTTTTCGAAAGACTTGTGCCTGACCTCTTTCTCAACTCTGATAATGCTATCTTAGGTATATAGTTCAGGGGGGGGGGTCTTATTAAGACAGCAATCGGGGGGGGGGGGGGTCGTAACAAGCGATCGTGTGCCACACCCTTGCTTGACCCTGGATATAAGATAGATATAATCTTTTGGAAACCGAAATTTTGAAGACCTGAGAAACATCTCCACTGATGCGTTCCATAGTGTTGTTAGTAGAATGGAGCTGAACATCCCCATCGTTTACGGAGTTGGCACTATCCTGGCTGAGAGAGTCTCCGATACGATTACCTTCCAATAATTCGTGTTCTCTGCTTTCACCAACAAATATGCTCTTCGCCATTACAAAGGCCCTGAATAGAACACTAATCAGATTCTGCAACATTACGCTCAAAGTCCTACGCAAATATGATGCTAATGTTTTTGAAACCTTTGTTTCGTCTCCGTCCTTAGACGGAGTTTCCATTCTCTAGGCCCTCTCCGGGACTCATCAGTAAGGAAAAGCGTTGTCTTGTGGAAAACGTTCGCAATTGCGGAAAACAAGCTCATTCTATGTTTTGAAAAATTCTTCTTTCTTCGGACAATCCATTATGTTGCAATTAAAGAATGAACTTGTCTAAAATGGCTTGTTCTTCTAGTGGTAGTAGCGATATCTGGCTTCACTGGGTTCCTGTTGAAGCATGACATGATAAGCTCACACTTCGTCTCCTCACACTTCGTCTCATTTCCACACAACATCTCATTTCGTCTCATTTACAACATCTTTGTGTCTCACTGCTGTGTGGCGACTCCCTTCACCGTGTTTTTGTCACCCTCTCCCCCTCCTCCCCCCCCCCCCTACCTCTGCCAACCAGCCTAGTCCCCCAAAATTTCTGAGAAAATCGATAAAATCGATCGATAATGAGTATTTTTACAAATGGTCGCCGCATTCGTAGTTAGCATGCTCACCTTTTTGTGCCAGTTCCAGTCGCGTAGCACAAAGTTTGCATAAAATATTGTAAATTTGACATTGACCGATAACCTGAAGCAATCGACGACACTGCCCGTCCCGAAGCACCCTGCTCAGCTTGGCCTTGATAGGCCATTTTTCATTTGGAACGTATAGACACACAGACATTTAGCTTCATATACAAGGTGCTCCAAAATTGTTTGCGTCAAAATATTCAAATTAGTGCCACAACAAAGCCAATGAAAAAGCCAATGGTCTGGATTCAATGTCAAAGAATGCCGTAAGCATACTCTATAAAAGCACTATCAAAATCCCAAATCGGTCTTTATTTAGAAAAGTAAGAAATGCAAAAAAAAAAACAATGTTCGCCACAGAAAAAACGTAAGCTGATGCAATTATTAGGTTGTCACATAAGTCTTGAGGCACTCTTACGGCGATAAGTCACGCAGTTTACACTTTCAATAGGGGTCCGGGGAACCATTCGATAGAGCAAAACAAGCCCTACAAGACGGTCTGCAAAATTTTGCCTCAACTTCAACCCACTTTAAGTTCGCATCCAAAATGTGAGTCTACTGAAGGCTCAGAAAATCCCGTAAACATATCTTCGTTTAAAAATCTTACGAATCTTCAATTTGCTCACAAAAATTGCGCACTACATCAAACACTCATATGTACCGTTTCTGAATTTTTCCTCATTTAGAAATCGAGAGAACGAAAATTCAAGTATAACAGAAACGAAGCTAAACTGTTTCCACTTATGTAACTGTATACTACAATCCCTTAAAGGTATAACCGTAAATTTGCAGCTTTCCACCAGCCCAAGCCAGCAGCTAGTTCTCGAGAAATATTGAATTTAGCATGAAGCACCCATGTGGGGAAAGCTAAATTTGGTAATTTTCGAAAACTAGGGCCTATGGAAAGCATAAAATCTACGGTTTTACTTCTAAGGCATTGTAGTATACAATTACATAAGTGAAAACAGCTTAGCTTCGTTTTTGTACAAACTTGGAAATTTTCATTTTCTCGATTTTTAAATGAGGAAAAAATTCAGAAACGGTACATATGTGTTTGATGTAGTGCGCAATTTTTGTGAGCAAATTGAAGATTCGTAAGATTTTTTTAAACGAAGATATGAATTTTTCGGGATTTTCTGAGCCTTCAGTAGACTCACATTTTGGATGCAAACTTAAAGTGGGTTGAAGTTGGGGCAAACTTTTGCAGACCATCTTGTAGGGCTTGCTTTGCTCTATCGAATGTTCCCCTGGACTCCTAGTAAAAATGTGAAGTGCATGACTTATCGCCGTAAGAAGTTGGAGTGCCTCAAGACTTATGTTACAACCTAATAGTTGAATAGTCTTTCGTCTTGAATGCTCCCTTGTGCCTGGCCCAGCTAACTTTGTTCCAGATGGACTTTTTCAGGTGGGTTTTATCTTGTTTGCTAGTTCAAATCTTGTCTTACATTAAGTGTTTGGAATACTTTGCCTTGTTCCCGTTTTGTAGTAATACAAAAAATGGAAACACGGTGAGAAACCCAATGGTCGGACTTTCTGCAGCACTTCTAAGAGCGCTATGTGACGGCGATGTAAAGCCATCTTCTGAGCAAGGTCAAGAAAGATTAATACTTTATTTGGACTAAGAAGAGGTTGTTTACTCTCACCTTCAAGATAAACTGATGTCACGCTTTTTTAAACTTTGAAAAATGTCGGAAAATTGCAGGTAAAGATTTATAGAATGAACAAAAATAGTTTAATATTTTGAAGACTGTGCATCTTTCACATGGCTGGGTCTCGTCGTGAGCTTACGGTAGTTGTACTGACGTGGTAATAATATCCAAGGAAGACACACAGTTGTTCACTACACCCGTTTTTTTGTCAAGGGTGTTCATCATATTTGGTGAGCACCAGTGGCAGTCGCAGGACTTCCGTGGGGGGGGGGCAAAAAATTTTAAATGAAGGTGCGTGACGTCAGCCATCTCCAAGAAATTCTTTGGGGTGCATCTCAAATTACGGATCCATAATTTCTAACTAATCCCTAAAGAGAGGAAAAACTTTTTTACAAAGCTAACTTGAATTTTTAAAAATTTTTAAAAAATCATTTTGATTATTTACAAGAACGAACAAGTCACTTGACACATTTATAACTCATGTGACTGAATTTCAAAAATTTCGCCACCCATTCTCGGGGGGGGGGGGGGGGAGGGGGAGGGAGCTCGCTCTGCCACTGGCGAGCACATATGATAATCATCAGTTTGATGCTTATACTTAGATACTTACTTAGATACTTAGATGGCCCGGCTTCACGTGACGTGCGGGCCCCAGCTCAGAAGTTTCCATTTTTCCCTGTCCCTCGCTTCTGACATCCACGATCTTCTTGGCTGACGTCGGTGGCTGCGTCCACGAGTTCCAGGTGCAAAAATCGTATCCAGCTGATTTCTCAGCTGGTCCATCCGTTCCACGAACACGTCTGCCCATCTCGTTGGAGGTCTTCCTCGGGGACGTTTGGCTTCGCGAGGAATCCACTCCGATGTTCTTACTGTCCATCTGTCGTCTGTTCTTCTCATTATGTGACCGGCCCATCGGTGTTTGGCTTTCGCGACGTATTCCGCTGGGTCACGAAGACGGGACATTCTTCTCATATCCGTGCTGCGAAGTCCGACTAGATGTTGCTTGCGTCGGGTCATCTTCAAAAGACTGCGCTCGAGCGCTCTGTGGGTGGTCCGTAGAGCTTTCGACGTGGCTACAGTGTCGGCCCAAGTCTCAGCTGCGTAACAGAGCGCCGGGAGAACGGTTGAGTCGAACAGGTGGGCACGAAGTTCCGGGTCCGTCAGTTGGTCGGTGGCTTCCTTCAGGGGCCCGAAGGCGGCCCAGGCTGCTCTTCTTCTCCTGTTGAGTTCTTCCCTCAAGTCGTTCTCCATGTTCATCGAACGTCCGAGATACACGTAGGAAGACGTCTCCATAATCGGGGTGCCTTCCAATTCCATTTCTGCATCTTCGCAAAGGGCGTTCTTCATGAACTGAGTCTTCTTCCGATTTATTCGCAGTCCGATCTTCTTCCCTACTTCGTTTAGTTCCTTCAGCATCGTCTCTGCTTCGGTGATACTGCTCGAGAAGAGAACGATGTCGTCCGCAAAACGAAGGTTGGACAGGAATCTCCCATCAACTCGTATGCCTCTCTCGTCCCAGTCCAGTGACTTCATCACCCACTGCAAGGCCGCGGTGAACAGCTTCGGCGAGATTGTGTCGCCTTGTCGGACCCCCTTCCCGATTGGTATGGTCAGGGGGCGATGGAATAGCTGCATCGTCGTTGTACAGTTCTTGTAGCAGTCGGCTAACGTCCTCACGTATGCTGGGTCCACTCCTTGATCGACTAGCGCAGACAGGATGGCATTGGTTTCGACGCTGTCGAAGGCTTTCTCGTAGTCGACAAAGGTTAGGACGAGAGGCAGTCGGTACTCCCGGCAGACTTCTATGACCCTCGAAACGGTCTGGATGTGGTCCATGCAGCTGAATCCTTTGCGAAATCCAGCTTGTTCTTGGGGTTGGGCTTCATCCAGTGTCCTTGATATGCGAGCGAGGATAATCTTCGTGAAAAGCTTGTACAGCACACTCAGCAAGCATATTGGACGATAGTTCCGAAGATCCTCCCGTTCACCCTTCTTGAAGAGAAGGACGGTTCTTGACGTTCTCCACTGGTCGGGAATCTTCTCCTTCTGAAGGTAAGATGTCAAATGCGACGCTAGAATCTCGTGTAGGCGGTGTCCTCCGGCTCGCAGAAGTTCGACGGAAAGATGATCTGGTCCTGGAGCCGTGGACGTCTTCATGGTCTGTATCGCGATACGCACTTCAGCAGGTAGAATTCGTGGTGGTACTTCTCCAGTGGGAACAACGGGCATCTGCACGGGTGTTGATGAGCGGAAGAGGTTGGTGTAGAAGTTCTTCGCGATAGATTCCATCTTGTATCGGGAAGAAGTCGGAGTCCCGTCTTCGTTCAGTAGTGCAGCCAGCGGTACGTGATATTCGCAGAGGTCCCTTCGGCACTTCTTGAGACTTCGTCTTCTTTCTGCTGCTTCCAGTATCTTGGCTTGCCTGTACTTCCTGAGATCCTCCTGCAAAGCTGTTCTGCAACTGGTGTTGGCAATCAGTCGCTCGAGATGAGTTGCATTCGGATCCTGCCTCAATGATCTTCTTCTTTCGAGCAATTCCTTGGTGGTCTTCGAGATGCGGTCCAAGTTCTTCTCAGAAGTCACTGAGGCGCATTCTCCGCAGGCTCGCAATCCTTTCAGAAGCCGGTCGTAGTCGTACGTTGGGTCCTCCTCGATGGGCCAGTCACAACTTGATATGAGCTCTTCCAGTCTGTTACCGTCATAAACGACTTCCTTCCTTCTCGCGGCACTATGACAGACTT